CAGTTGGTGCACTTCACGATAGACGACATCGCCATTCTGTGAGTCAGCAGTCGAGTGCGACTTAAGACTCTATATTAAATCGTGCCGATTTTACCTAAGGAGGAAACGGAGGGTGTCCGTACCCGAAGTCAACGCCAGCAGGAGACGGACCAAAGAAGATTTGGTGGTGCAACGCCGCAAACGTCGGAGGGCCAGCCACCAGCTGCAGGCCCGTCAGTAGCTCCTACATCTGCAGCACCCGACTTAGGTGCTCTGATGGTGATGCTGCAGGAACAGGCTCGCCGACAGGAGGAACAGGTCCGTCGGTTGGAAGAGCAGCTGCGGGGCGGACAGGATGAACAGGCCCGTCGACAGGAGGAACAGGCCCGCCGACAGGAGGACCAGGTCCGCCGCCAGGAGGCACAGGTCCGTCGGTTGGAAGAGCAGCTGCAGGGCGGACAGGATGAACAGGCCCGCCGACAAGAAGAACAGGCCCGTCGGTTGGAAGAGCAGATACTCCTCATGAAGGACCTTCACGCTACCTTCGGAAAAAAGATACGGGAGGTGAAGGATAAGGTTGCTCAACATGACAACCGCCTGTCGGAAGCTGAAACCCGAATCGACCAAGTAAACAATCGGGTTAACAACGTAATGGCTGACATGAAGAAATCACTGGACGAACTCAAACTTGGAGATGGAACTACAGCTCCCGTAGTAGCTACAACACCTTCGCTACGTGGGTTCAAGGTGCCACCGTTCGACGGGACTTCTTCCTGGTCAGCCTACAAAATCCAGTTCGAGGCTGTTATGAAGGCGAACGGCTGGAATAAAAGTCAGGCCATGACTGCTCTCACACTAGGCCTGCGCGACCAGGCCTTAACAGTTCTGGAAGCTCTTGGTGAGGAAGTGACTTATGAGCAACTCCTTGAGGCATTGGAGGCGAGATATGGCGACGCTCACCTGGAACACGTCTTTCGTGTGCAGTTTAAAGATCGCGTGCAGCGCATCAACGAAAAACTGCAGCAGTAGGCTCTAGAGGTGGAGAAGCTGGTGCGAAAAGCATACCGGTCTGTACCTGCGCTCATTGAAAGGAACCTGGTGCAGACATTCATCGACGGCATCCGCGAACTGGAAGTCAGAGCTGCTGTGAGGCTCGGGCACCACGAGACGCTTAAGGACCATACAATGACAGATGTCCATGTTAAGCAGTAGACAGTAGACGGGACAGTAAAGTAGAAAAATCTCTGTGACACCTCTTATGATCGTATTTTACCTCTGCAGTACGCTACGCCGTACATGCAAAGAACAATATACTACATCTTTGTACTTCGCATATACATAAATTTGCATTAACATAATATCAACTTGCTTTGTCTAAGAGGACTACGTAACATTATTCCAAACAGATTTGTGTTTGTAGCACTATGCATGTTGACGTTCCGAGTTACTTACATTATTTCTGTTATAATCAAACCACAACACTAGGTCATTTCAGCATAGTCCAGATGTTTTATATGTAGTAGAGCCATGATGCAGTTATATTGTATTTGAAGCTGGTGTGGGTTGGGTCGATCGGAGAAGGACTACGCTCTCACAGAACACCAGCGTAAAATAAAAGCATAATGCTGCTGAGTTTGTTATGATGGGGTTAGAATAGAATAAACTGTTTATTTATATATTATTACGTAATACTTATTAAAAGTCATTATACGTACGTTTCTGGCAACATTAATTCTGCATCCATACATTCATCATAATTTCCTCATTACAGAGTCACTACTGAATATAGGCCTAACCAAGGAATGCCAAAAAGCACGGTCCAGAGCTATCTGCATCTATCGATACAGTAGTCTTACCAGGTTGTCACTCAGTCTAGTGGCGGGACATTCTTCACTTTGCCTGCTGGTACAAAGCTGCCACTCGAGAACCTTTCATCCCCAATGGTTGTCGGCTCTTCAAACTATATGGCTGGGCCATTGTCACTCCAGCTTACTAATCCGTTGGGCTACGTCGGTTACTCTGTTTTTACTGCGGATATCCTCATTCCTAAGTTCATCTCGCGGAGAAACTCCAAGCATAGCCCTATCCATAGCTTGCTGAGTGATTTGAGCTGCCTCATACGGCCAGCAGTAAAGAAACATGTCTCAGATCCATAGGTCATCACTAGCAACACGCGCTCGTTGTACAATCTTGTTTTGAAGTTCTGAGACATTCCTGACAAGAAGATGTGTCATGATCTCCCGAACGCTGCCCAGTCGAGTTGAATCGACAAGGTAAGTTGAACTTACCTTGTCGGACTATTTGTCCCAGGTAAACATAATCGTCAATAATTTCCTGCTTAGTACTTCCTTATATATTAGTTATACAAGGCTTTTGCTGAACACAGCCCACACCCACAGATTGCCTCATATATGGGTATATTTTTATTGCTTGGCAACCTCAGTGTTTATTTTTTAGCTCTCTCCTGTTCATCTTCTGGTTTGTGTCGCCTCCCACAACAACACCCACAGGATAGTATATGATAATGGATTTTCCTATATAGCGGATAATTTGATATCCATATTATTTTTTTGGTATTTGAAATAAATGTGATAGGTGACAACTATGTTTATTTTGTCTAAATCCATACTAATATTATAAATGCGGAAGTGTGTTTGTATTTTAATAAAAATAACTATACATTTTAATTGTAAAATTTTAGTGCACAAATGAAACGTTTATTGTTGTCATAGATTTAAATAGTATAATAGTGGTTTATATAATATCTGAAATTAACTACGAGACATAAAAATATTTCAAGATTGTGACATATGCCAAATGTAACAAAACAATTCGCTACAAAGGATTTCTGAAATATATATTTGATTGACTGATGAAGAGCTATCGTATCGCAAAGCCATGTAAGATTTTGTCGGGATATTTTTCATATTTGAAAAGTTCTAGTCCGCGTGTGATAACTTCAAGGCACGGTTGCTAAGGCCACCATTGTTTATTCTAGCGACGCCATACGTCCCTAGATCTCTTACACTGCAGCTTCCAGTTGCGGGACCGTCCTGTGACGCACTTACGTAACGACGCATGCGTCTTGTTACCATAATAAGCAGCCGTCATATTTTGACTTTGACTTTTTTATATTTTCAGTGTAATTTTTAAGTTACTTTATTGTGTTTTTTAATTAGTTTTAAGTTATTCTTTTTTTGTTATTGTATTTAACTGTTGTGAATGCAGTCTGTGCCCCAATCTAGTGATGGCACGGCGAACGCGACCCTTATATGTACACAGTGCAACAAGTCTTTTTTAAGTATTTATTTAAAAAAAGATTATCGGTCTTGTCACAAGGTTTTGTCAAATTTGTTAAGTCGTTGAGAAAATGGAATTGACTCAAGAAAATTCAAGAGCGATGATTTATTATGACTTTCGAAGTGGTTTAACACAAAAACAGTGCGTTGACCGGATGACTTCTGCATTGGGTGAAGAAGCCCCATCCAAAAAAACAATTTATTGCTGATTTGCTGAATTTCAACGTGGACGTGTCAAGCTCAGTGATGATCCCCGTCAAGGTCGTCCAAAAACTGCAGTCACCCAAGAAAACGTTGATGCTGTGCGTAAGCTGATTGAGGAAGATCGACATGTGACATACCGCGAAATTCAAGCAACTTTAGAAATTGGCATGAGTCAAATACAAATAATCTTGCATGAACAATTAGGTGTAAAAAAGTTGTTTTCCCGATGGATACTGCATTCACTCTGTGAAGAGCAAAAAGCGGCTCGCGTTACTTGGTGCATCAGAACTCTCGAAAGATTCCACGCAGGATCCTCAAATGCTGTACACAACATCGTATCAGGTGACGAATCCTGGATATACGCGTACGAACCCGAAACAAAAAACCAGTCACGAGTTTGGGTGTTCGAAAATGAGTTAAAGCCAACAAAAATTGTTCGTTCACGGAGTGTTGCAAAAGAAATGGTGGCCACGTTTGTCTCCAAAACCGGCCATGTTACGACTATTCCACTTAAGGGACAAAGAACGGTTAATGCAGAATGGTATGCTAGCATTTGTTTGCCACAGGTCGTTTCTGAACTCCGTAAAGACAACTGCAACCGCCGCATCATCCTCCAACACGACAATGCGAGTTCTCACACCGCACACAGAACAAAAAGAGTTTTTAGAGCAAGAAAACATAGAATTATTAGATCATCCGCCGTACAGCCCCGACCTAAACCCTAATGATTTCTATACTTTCCCTAAAATAAAGAATAAATTGCGTTGACAGAGATTTTCATCACCTGAAGAAGCTGTGGACGCCTACAAAACGGCCATTTTGGAGACCCCAACTTCCGAATGGAATGGTTGCTTCAATGATTGGCTCCATCGTATGGAAAAATGTGTCAAATTTCGCGGAGAATACTTCGAAAAGCAATAAATACATTTTTTAATAGTAATGTTGTGTCACTTCCTTGATTCCCGAAATTTTCAGTGCCGCCCTCGTAGTCCCTGGTTACCAGTATAAAGCATCACCGGTTCTATATATATATATATATATATATATATATATATATATATATATATATATATATATATATATATGGGTAAAGGTTGGCTAAATGGTGATATATAGCAATATGGTGATAATTTTGTTTTCAACGGTCTTTATAATGCCCAGCGCGAGTTTAGCGTTCATTCAATGAACTGAAGGCGAGTATGTTCATCTCTCTTTCATTTGGCCGCTGGTCGCTGTCCTCACCGGACGCGGTTTATTTGTTTCGCGCCAAAATATGCGAAAAAATGGAGGATAATCGGTACGTAAATATCACCAAATTACCAAAAACATTACATAGCTTATTTTTATTTTATTTCAAGCTTAATTTGAATGGGGTTTTCAGGGTAGATGAAGCTCGAAATATTGTATCTTTCTGTTAAAAAAAAATATCGGGTTGTGTTTCATTAGTCCGGGTTATAGTCTTACGTATTGGATGATTTTTCTTACAGGAACAAGTCCGGAAAGGCAAATAAAAGGAAAATGAAGGGCGAGAAACGCAGAAATTATGACTCTTCACGCTTCAAAGAGGCTTATATGAAAGTTATAAAGGATAATTGGTCAGTGTACAAGGCGTCGAAGGAATATGGCATACCGTGGTCTACTTTGAGAAGACACATAGCTACTCATGGAGGTGAAAGTTTCGACTTACCTAAACTTGGGAGACCATTCACATTAGACAGCGACCTTGAATGTAAGTTTGTTTCCTACATAATTAAAATGCAAGAACTAGGATTTGGTCTCAGCGTCACAGACATCAAAGCTAAATGTTACGCTTTAGCAGTCCAAGCAGGAAAAGATCACCAGTTTAACGACGCTAAACCTAAAGCTGGGCCTTATTGGTGGTGGTCGTTTAAAGAACGGTACGGGCTTTCATTGCGCACGCCAGAAAAAGCTTGCAGCATGCCGAGCTGTTACTGCTAACAGATAAAACATTGACGATTTTTATAAAAAGCTACTGGACGTCGTTATTGAGCTGGATATTCTGCAAAAGCCTGAAAGGATTTATAATTGCGACGAAACCGGTGTAACTTTCGTCGTAAAACCGTCAAAAATTGTCACTCAAACTGGAAAGAAGGTAATTTACAGTAGAACTTTTGCAGAGAAAGGTATCACACAAACGGTGCTTGGGTGCTGTAGTGCGAGCGGAGCGTCTGTACCCCCTTTATCATTTTTAAAGGTGTCCGAATGGTCAATGATCTAGCGAATGGTGCTCCGGAAGGGTCTATCGTGAGATTATTCAAAAACGGATGGATTAACTCTGAACTATTTCTGGAGTGGATGCACCATTTTGAAGCTCATATTCCACCAGCTAGACCGGTACTTTTAATCATGGATTCTCACTCTACCCATGTCAGCCAAGATGTTATAGATTTCGCTACAAAAAATGGCATTCATCTATTCACTTTTCCAAGTCACACAAGCCATCTCCTGCAACCTCTGGATGCTTCTGTTTACAAGTCACTGAAAAATGCATGGGCTAAAGTGCTAAATGATTATAAGCTTCAACATCCAACGAGTGCTCCAACAAGGCTTGACTTTTGTCGCCTATTAACACCAGCCTACGAGCATGCATTTCAGCCGTCAATAATTATGAACGGCTTTCGAAAAACTGGCATTGCGCCATTTAATCGAAATGCCATTTCTGATGAAAGTATTGCCCCATCATTGATGCAGCCAAGTGACCTACAGTCACAGAATATTGAATCTTCCACTGATAATGCCCAAGCTTCTGCTGTCAATCGTGAAACTGCGTCACCTTCAGTTTTCTCTTTACTTTCCGTTCCTGAGGTACCACAGTCTTCTTCTTCTAGTACCCGACGAGCTAAGCGGAATCCACAGGCCCGATATTTAACACCTCAAAGCACGAACAACATGGACAGTCCTGAAGAAAACATCGTCGCCATATCAAACGAAACCACAGTCGCCGTTACCAGTGAGGAGACCGTTACCTCGATTCGTGTCCCCTCTGCTTCTCCAACTCCTGGACCTTCAACTGAAAGCAACCTAAAGCGTAAACTACCAAGAGTCAAGGTAGAGAAAACACCAAAATCAAATAAAAGTACGATGTGTGACTATTGCGGTGTTCACTACTCCCAAGATGTGGCACTTAGGAACGGAGCTGTATGGGTAGAGTGCATGAGCTGCGGCAAATGGTACCACCAAGAATGTACTGGCACAGAGTCGCCACAGTTCCTGTGTGATAATTGTGATAAAGTAGACTTTTCAGGCACTGATGACAGTGATTGGGCACCTGAATAGACTTGTAACCATATTGCCACATATGGTATCACCAAATTGCCCCCCGTATTTCCATATTGCCAACACCAAAAAGATTTGTTTGATCTGATTTTCCTATTAATGTTTAAGAATTTAAGTTGCTGTGATTAATAATTATTGAAAAGAAAAGTCTGATTATTGTAATAAGTAAAGAGGTTTTCTAATAAATGTTAATTTTGAAATAAAATTTTAAGTTTTTTTCTTATTATCACCATAAAGCCAACCTTTACCCTATATATAAACGAAGCACAGAATAAAAAATTCAAAAAAAAAATTCAAATACATATGAGGTTCGCGCACATGTATTGGGGCAACTCTAGGAAATGAGAGGAGGCCTGTGCCCAGCAGTGGTACGTATATAGAGGCTGTATCTTTAACTACCTTTAATAAAGTAATCCAATTAGTCATCATCATCATCATTACAGCCCTTCACAAGTGTACTGCTGAACATAGGCCTCCCCCAAGGTATGTCACAAAGCACGGTCCTGAGCCACCTGCATCCATCCACTTCCTGCATGTCTTACCTGGTCGTCACTCCTGTCAGTGATGACCTATGGAACTGAGACGTGGTCCTTCACTGCTGGTCGTATGAGGACGCTCAAAGTCGCTCAGCGAGCTATGAAGAAGGCTATGCTCGGGGTTTCTCTGCGTGATAAACTTAGAAATGAGGATATCTGCAGTACAACCAGAGTGAGACATAGCCCAACGGATTAGTAAGCTGAAGTGGAAATGGGCCAGCCATATTGCTCGAAAAATCGACAACCGTTGGGGAAAAAAGGTTCTAGAGTGCAGCCTCGTACTGTACTACGTACTGGTAGGCGAAGTGTAGGGTGACCCCCCACTAGATTCAATTAGTAATGTACGTAAAATAATCAAAATATCATTAATATTGTTATTATTATTACAGGAAAATACATAAGCCTTCTTTGCAATGTCGACTAAGATTTGAAAGACAAAGTTAGTTCGCATTAATTTCAAATTTCATATACCTTTGGAATGCCTTTTTCAAATATACTTTATTACAATTATTTAATTTTTCACTTATAACAGCCGAATAGATTTACTTGTTTAGGGATACAAGTGCATAGTTGCCACGCTTGGCAAGTGGGTTGACAATCGCAGTTATTATTTTTATTTTCACGTTACAATTTCTTGTCTTTTTTATTTCTTGTCTTTTTTAAACGGTACCCCCCCCCCCCCCCCATATTAGGATTTTCTACTGTATCGTGGGAGCAGTTTTAAAATATAAGTTTCACAAGGACATACATCCAGATCCGGAATAATTATTTGTAGGCCATACTACCTGCTCCGTGTGGGATTCGAATCCGCGGCTTTTAGCGATGTAACTCACTGCTAAGCCACTGCGCCACGGAGCCGTCAATTAGGAACACGCTTCTGTCCCTCTTCTGGTTTGTTTCCCGTTGTCATAAATGACGTTAGAGTAAACAAGCATTTTATATTTAAGTAAGTGTCAATTTGTTTTTCCCATAGTTACCTTTACCTCATAACATATAATTAAAATTGAAGCTAATAAGCAGCTAGCCTGGTCCACGTTTCTCCTGCCACCTCTACAACGTCGCGCACCAGCGCGCCCGCTCCTCATTGATTCTGGCCACATGTCCTGCTTATCTCCACTTCAGTTATCACGCCAATTTGGCTGCGTGTATCATATTTATTCTCAGCGATTATTCTTGTGTAAATATAAGAAATCATTAAATGCTAAAAGTACTTTTACTTTTCCTTTGTGCTTTTACTTCCTTTCATATTTATAAAAGTTTGTAGTAATAAAAATAATGTCCTCCAGACAGAATTTCGGCCACGGCGGCCTGCCTCAACGGAGTTTAGTCATCGGCGCAGGACAGGATTATAGTGCCCAAGTGTATGCACAAGTACTGGTGCACTCTCTATTCCCTCACTCTCATAATCCAATGGGACGGTAAACCGACACAACCGGAGAGAGATCAGGCGCAGGACCAACGGCTTTACGTGCTTTCCGAGGAACGGGGGTGAGACACCGCCAACTTCCTGACTTCGGGCAGTTACTGAGAACTTCTTGACGGAAAATCAATAATAGATTTTTGGCCCAACCGGGATTCGAACCCAGGATCTCATGATCAGCAGTCGCACTACTACAACCACTAGACCAACGAGGCAGTTTGTAGTATATATGTGGTAGCTAAGATATTAGGCATTCCTTTTGAAAATTTTATAGTGTTAGAGCAGGGTGTTTGGCACAAAATTGCTAAACCACAATCGCTACATCTACCTTATACTCAAATATAAAGGAAATCTGGACATAAATCATGGATATTATAGTAAAGATAACGATAAAGTTATTCTTACGTTTGGCAGGCAATTTGGCCAAATATCATCTCTCAGAATAACCACACGTAACAAAGGTGTACTTTGACGATACTTCCCGTCGCCGGTATGTGCTTTTAATTATTATTTTATAGAACTAGGGTGACAAATAAGCACACAGTTCACCTGATGGTCAGTAAATGCTGTGGCCCATAGACATCTCAATCTATTCTCAACTAAGAAATAAAAATGTGGATGGGTTGTCACCCCATGAGCACTAAGATAGAATGTCTCTTTGCCAAGAAAAAGTGCCACTGGTTCTCTACATCCATACAGAACACAGCTGCCTTAAATTGCTATTTTACACTAGTATTTGTTATATAAATAATAAATCATAACGTAACCTGCTGAATCATAAGGAACTGGAATGCCACGATTCTCTTCTCACTTTTTAGTCCCTTAACAAGGACAAATCCGGCTATGCAGCAGTGGCAAGGAGCTTACTTTTAAAATGAATTCTGAAATTTATGCTAAATAGAAATAACCGTTGAGGCTTAAATTAAAGCTGTATATTGTATTATTCATACATTCGTCCTATACGTAAGTACCCACAGAAATGACGCATCTGAACAAATTAATTTCATAACCTGTATTCCATGACACGAGATGGCGTCTTAGGAATAATTTGTTGTATTATTAAACTATAATACTTTTTTATTGATTAAGTATCTTATTAACCGATAAAAAGTAATTTCTTGGTTTTTACTGACATTTCTTGAATTATTTTTGCAATATCTAAGTACACACGACGACATATTTTTATTAACAGATTTATTTTTAAATCAACACAAAACGTGACAACTCTACAAGCGCCTAGCGAGTGACGGATAAGTGATAATTAAAGTGCGGTGTAAGCACCGCAGTTGAATGGAACAGAGTAGCTGAATGCAGTGTCGCCTCTAATACAAAGTACATAATAGCTCAATACAGCTAAAACAACAATTAAGTACCTAATAATAAGTGTTCAAGTGACTTGAACATCAATTCGAAATAAGAATTATTAAAGGTTTTTAACTCTAAAAGTGCAGTTTATAGTGAGTAAAATAATTTTTCAGTGCATAAAAAGATCAAATAATCTTTTGAAAAGTGTGTGTGGTAAATATAAATCGTAACAAAAATTAAAAACCCGGTCAAAACATTCATAAACAAAATATTGCATGACATCTATCGATGTGTTGCTAAACTAGCACAGTTGATGGATATTTTAATACTAATATGGTACTGTGATTAGCCGAAAGAGGGCATTGAATAACATTACTTTACAGAGAGAAAAAAAGACTTGA